CACTCAAGTGCAGCAGTTACGCAATAATGCACCCTTTTAAAAAATAAATACAACTTACTGTTAAAGCTCAATCCATGCAAAGGGGACTATAAGACAACTACCACTTCCAAAATCCCAACAAATACATATCCAGCTGATTGAGGGTGGCGGCGTTCCAGTCTTTCACTGGTCGCATGATTTGCAGTGCAGAGCCTGTCAGCTTTAAGTACTCCAAGAGACTGTCGTATGAGCAGCCTGAAGTCTGACTGTTAGAAAAGCCTCCTGACGAAAAGAAATATTTAGAAATAAAGCAAATAGACAAAGTTTCAGTAACTGATGCATTCCATGTATAATGCAGTGCAATAAGTCACCAATTAGTAACAGGGAAACTCGAGTCCTTGGAGTGCCCGTTTGTCTCGTTTACTTTCACCTGAATCTGAAGATAACCTTCACGGTGACGCTGCTTACAGTAAAACAGAATAAAAGAGTGGATGAGACCTCAGTACATGAAATTATTTTCACTATTAGATCCCAGATTGTTAGATCAGGTGAGAGTGGGTAAAGTTTTAAGTGAACAAAATGCTTATTAGAGCTGTGGACAACAAAAATAAGGCAGATGAATTATGTAGGATCTCTCTCTTTTATCTCTTTTTATCTAACTTATTCTGTCAGACGATCAATTAACGATCAATAGTCACAAATGACTGTATGTAATTTGATGTAAATAAAGCTTAGATGTTGAATATTCAGTTTGCTATACGCGCACACTCAAACAGAAAATAAATGCTTACCTGAAAAACTACCAGACAGGTTTTGCAGGATGCAATAAGACATCCGCCAGAGGATCATCTGCTGGTCAGCAATAAGTCGGTGACCTTTTAATATTGGGGAGACAGAACGTTCCACTGTGATATGGGTGGGGCAGATTAGTATAAGTGGCACTGTCTTTAATTTCTGGACTGCAAATAAATTGGTGATTTTTGAAGGTCTGTGTTTTCACTCCGTAACACAAATCAGTGCTTTTTCTGAGTTTGGTTTCTGCTGGTGTTTTGAAGAGTTACTTCACCTGTAAATCTCCAGTGTTTCCTTTGTTTTCCTGCATTACCATCATTAGTTGTGTTTCACCTGCTTGCTCTGTGTTTGTGTGTGTTTGTGTGTGTTTAGTCTCATCAGTTTGACTGTTTGCTCACCATTCGTTCTTGCTTACACTCCTTTTTGGGGGGTTCTGTTTTGCTCTACTTGCTCTCTGGACTTCGTGCAACTTTCGTTTTTGTATCAGCCAATAAAGCCTCGCCTTTCGTTTATTTGACTTGGCTCCAGGTCCTCCAATGATTTTTTAAGTTAATGCTTAAATAATTAAAATCCTGACAACAATCCATCTGTATTACTGTGATGTCATTGTCATCACATCAGGTTTCATGTTTCATTTAATGCTGATCCTTTATTTATTTAGCATCACGTCTTCAGTCTCAATCATAATGACAATTCAGATTAAAGTCAATATTTGTCTGGTTGTCTGACAGCAGATTGTTATCATATTCACTATATGAACAAAAATATTGGAACACCTCCATCATCCACAGGTATGGATATGGAGTGTGGTCTCCCCTTTGCAGCTATGACAGCTTCCACTCTTGCGGGAATGTTTTCTGCAGGATTTCGGAGCGTATCTGCCTATCAAGTGTTTGATATAGTTGATGTGCAAGCTCATCTGCACCACACTCATCCTATCATGTCTTAATGCACCGTGGCGTGTGCACTGGAGCACAGTCAGCTGGTACAATAAACAGCTTTCCCCTAAATGTTTCCACAGAGTTGGTCTCTGTAAGCTGAAGTGTTGAAGTTCCTTTGAATGGAAATAAAAAGCACAGGTCAACCAATGAAAAACAGCACCATGATCCTTCCTGCACCAAACTTCAGAGCTGGTACAGAGCAGCCAGGCAGGTAATGTACTCCTAGCATTTTCCAAATCCAGACTCATCCATCAGACTTCCACACAGAGAAGCATGACTGGTCACGTCATACAGCACATTTTAACTGCTCCAGAGTTCTTGGAAACCCATGCCACGAAACTACAGGTGCAAAGTTTTTGTGCCAGTGTTATTCCCAGAACTGGGGATGTGTATGTGCTTCGGCAACTTTGTGCGGTCTGTCACTTCATGGCTGAG